GATGTGAGATGATACAGCCAGAAATTGGGCAACTTGTCATTTCCTGGGGATTTCCATTTGGGATTTCGTTAGAGCTTTTGCCTAACATCATCTGTGGATATATTTTCCCATTCTTGCAGAGGTGTATCCAGCAGTCGTTCTTCTTCACGCCGTATCCATTCTGCATTTGGGTTATATTCCTTTGGGCTGCTCCAGATATTTTCCCAGAATGTCTGTACATTATCAATCGATGGTGGCCTTTCGACATGTATAGGTGTTTTTCCAATTTCCCTGTAAAATTTCTTAAGATCTGTTCGGAATATTTTATTTTGGCGATAGAACCTACAACGTTTTTCGTATCGTCTTGTTCTCTGCGCCTTTAGCTGAAGTTTCTGCTTCAGCATTTCCTTGATTGATGGAATATCAATTAGGGATTTAATGTTATATTTCCGCTTGATCTTTTTGAATTTACGTGTGGAAATATTATATTAGGGTTTCTGGTGAGCTCATCTAATATAGAAAGCTCACATCTGATTTGTTTTATTTCTCGAATCAGTTTGGTTTTCCAAGCTGGTTCTCTGTGTCTATTAATTTTATTTATTGTCTTGACTCCAAGCTTCCGAGTCGCTGCTAAAGCTGTTGCGTATATGACGTTGTTAAAACTTGTGATGTTTCCCGGTGGTTTATCTGTTAACAGTGTTTCCAGAAACAGCATTGTATATTTTCACGATGTGCCTGTTGGAGTTCGTCATATGGATTTTCGGGAGCTGGTCTCTGTCTGACAATTGTTTTCGATGTTACTCTGCTGAGTACTTGGATGACGTCATTTTTCATTCGGTGATTTCAGCTTCGTGGTTTTCAAGGAATTCTAACTTATTGTTGAATTAAGAACTGAAGATGACTCAGGTACATTTTCTGGAGGACTGTAGGTTGTGTTTAAGGTAGAGTCTTGGGTTTCATTTCCTGGGAGATTATTTCGTATTTCATTTTCTTTAGCATCCACCCCATCCTCTGTTGCATTCCTTATTTCTACATTCGTCTCAATAGAGTTTGAATGATGGGTCATAGTATTTTGTCTTATATCTAATTTTATCTTATCTATTTCTGCCTTTGAGAGTCTGTTGTTTCGCATGATGTCCCTACGGACATTGGCAAGCATGTTTGGATTTTTTTAGGTTATATATCATTTCCCACCGTACTTCTCCATATTTGGTATGTTTGATTGGTGGTGTTCTTTGCTGGGTTTTCGAGTGCAGTGAAGAAGGATGTCATGACTTGTCGATACTCTTCGCGGCTCCATTTTTCGTTCGTTTACTTTTTTTTAGTCGATTTTGCATAGAGTCACTTGGTCCAAGGTTGGCAATAATCCGGTTTTGGTGACCAAGTGTCTTCTTCGTGTGTGGAAGAGTTTGTTCCAGTGGCAACTTTTCGTTCTCAGACTGGTTCCTCTCTGAGTGACGCGGCCCTTGTTGTCCCGGTTGACGGCCGATCCTATGAAATATTATTCGTATTCATTGAAATTAGTAGAATGCGTTTTAACCTTGACCGCCAAATGGGTAATTATGTTCAGATTAAAATCTTACATTCAATCTCGAAGAATCAGAAAAATAAATCCAAATTTGAGATTTTTGGGTTTATTGATTTGATAAAATTAATTAAGAATATTTTTAAATTGTGTTATTCAATGGGGTAAATTTATTTATTAAAATAACTTTCAACTTAGTTTTAAGTCCATGAAACTCCAGGAAATCCTTTAATTTTAAAAAAAAAAAAAAAAAAAAAAAAAAAATTAAATATCCTGTATTATACATTTTCTAAATTAATTTTTTATATATATATATATATATATATATATATAAATATATATATATATATATATTTTATATACATGGCTTACATTTTCAATTAAATAAGTTATTATTGTTATAATATCTTCCTTCGAAATGGAAAATATTATTGAGTAAACATTCAATAAAATTTGTTGAAAAAAATTTTTATTTTAATATATATATGCATTAGTTTTTTTTTTTTTCTTATATAAAATTATTTCTGGAAACGGATGTCCAAAGGTCAATTGCCATTTTATTAAATATATATATGCATATAAAAATTGTATAATTTAACAAATTCAAAATATTTTTTTAAATTAATTCATTCTTAAAAATTTTTTTAACATCATTTTAAACTTTCCATTATTATTATTTATTATTTTGTTGTTATTATTATTATTATTATTATTATTATTTATTATTTCTGCTATGGACACACTACCTACCAAGTCTGCGGAAAGACCTAAGGCAGGTCGTGGTGTGTTGTTATGGCCACATTTCATGTTAATTTTTTTTTTTTTTTTTTTTTTTTTTTTTCTCCGATGAAGTTGCTAGCGTTACATAGACAAAGTTCTCCTTAGTGTGTGTGCTGTACTTAATAAGACAATTTTCTGTATGTCTCTTAAGCTGGGGTTTCAGGGATTCTTTCAATGTGTTGTTTTGTTCCATTTTTTATAATTCCAAGTGCACCTATTACCACTGGTATTATTCTTGTTTTCAATTTCCACATTTTTTTTTATTTCAATTTCCAGGTCTTTGTATTTTGATAGTTTTTCAAATTCCTTGGTTGCTATGTTACAATCCGCTGGACAAGCCATATCAATTAGTAGGCAAGTTTTTTTTTTCTGGTTTTTGACAATAATGTCCGGCCTATTTGCTTCAATTTTTCTGTCTGTGTGGATGGTATAATCCCATAGAATGGTGACATCTTCTATTTCTGTAACCGGCGCTGGCCGATGTTCATACCAGTGTTTGCTTACACATTTTCCAAAGTGTTTGCACATTGTCCAGTGTAAGTATTGCCCCACTCTATCGTGACGATTTTTATATTCATTTGGGGCAAGTATAGAACATCCTGAGATTAGATGGTCTATTGTTTCTTGGTATTTGTCACAGAACCTGCATTTTGGATCCACATTATTATGTATGATATTTGCCTGAAAATTCCTAGTGAAAAAGACTCTGGTCTTGCGCTGCAAGAATAAAGCCTTCAGTTTCAGACTTTAATCCAGATGCTCGTAACCATCGATGAGTATTAACTTTATCAACATTGGGTTTATTTGCACGTTCTGGATATTGGCCATGCAGAGGTTTGTCTTGCCAGCGTTGTTTCATCTGTTCAAGGGCTTTATCCTTGGCTTTCTTTTTTCATATCTTTTGCTGCAATAGTTGGTTCTTGGCTTCTGTTTTGATTTACTACAGAATCTACTAAATGTAAATGTTGTTTGTATTTACTGCCTTCTTTTATTATTGAATTTTTTTCTTTCTGTTTTCATGTTGTTTCGATAGATAAATATGAACAGTGTATACTGTGTATGGACAATGTACGTGAGTGACGTCATTATCGTCGAAGGCAGTCGATCGGATTTAAAAACAGTCTCAGAACTGTGAGGTGGGCGATTGATTTGTCTTTTTTTTACGGATTATCAGACTTTTACAGTTTATTTAAAGAAAGAAAATTTATTTTTAGATTGTAGGAATTTTTCGGCGATAATAATGATTTACAAATGCAAGTTCTACTAATTAACTCATTCTTGGGGTGTCATACGCTTTTCAAGGTTATTTCCGCGTAAGTGAATATAATGAACCAAACAGGAATTCGAACTCGGTTCTTCGATTTCAGAGCCGTTATCCATTACACCATCCACACATTTAAGCTTACTTCGTTTTTAAACCTGATATGGCCTCTGAATACATAGTTGCAAACAAGTCTTTCTCTAATTAACTTCCGCGCGAAAAACAGGGTTATTTTTAGAAAAACACACACAAATCATTTATTATTTTATCACACACACAAACGTAAATATTAAAAGTATATTTTTCATTGCATAGTCGATTTTCTTTTTATTAATTCGTAACGCATTGTGGGTCGTGGGAGAGTTAGCAGAGAGGCTGTCTTTGGAAAGTCTCGAGAAATTGTGGGAATCAAAGCCAAGCAATTCGGTTTGAAGAATGTCTTAAAATAGCCTGGCGTGTTTTGGCACTGAGATGCAACCAAGTCGGAAATTATGCCAACGTAACCAACAGATTTTCGCTTTTCGTTCCAAAGTGAAAACTGAAAATAAAACGACACTGACCCCCGTCCAAAGTGGTGTCAGCAGTGAACACCGTCAATCGTAATTTGGGCCTTCTTTTTCCATCGGTTCAGTAAATTTAGACGCACATTTTTTTACGGATCGATTTATTTCGCCTGTCAATTCAACGAGAGATTAGAACAGAACCAATGCTCGCCACTCTGTTGTGGTTAGTTAGTTATACTCGCAGGCCATTGACACTGTGTTCATTTCTTACCATGGTCCTTAGATTTATTTCGTTATATCAATTTAAGCAAATATAAAAACTACTGAAAAACCCTCTCTGTTGAACGAGTTGCCAATTAGTTATTTTATGTCTTTGTTGCAAGAAAAAAAGGTACGCTGTTTAGAGTACCAGATAGTCGATCACTGGCTGCACCATCACCATGAACAGGATTAGACATCTTGAAGGAGCAAGATCCTTTTCGGAGTGGGACTGCAACAAACCTTTATAAAGCCACATCTGCAGCTGCGGCTAGCATATTACCAGTCGGAGTTGGAAACATCAAGCTTCGACATTATTAAAAAAAAATGGGCGTACACCAAATAACGGAGTTTGGGAAAGTACGGTTTTTCAAGTACTGGATGTCTCGTTGGGAGATTGAACGTTTTATTCCCTCGAGAATATCGGAGCGTGGACTGGCATGTGGTCTTTTAGATAATATAAACATACGTCAAACAACTACTACGTGCGTCTTCCAGGATGGAAAACCTGACTTCAAGTCAACTGTTGGACCGAGCCAAGCCGAAGAACTGACTGTGGCTGAGGAATTTGCTCTACGAGATATTACACGACGTGATGGATGATTTCTTGAGACTACTATAGTCTTCTAACAAATTCTACTGGAACATGTAAACCAGATACTACCTACTGCATGGTGACTTACGTGAAAATCACCTTGAAACACCAGTCCTCGTACAATCACCGAAGTTAAGCAACTTTGAGCCTAGTCAGTAGCTATATAGGTGACTGCCTGGGAATATCGGGTGCTGTAAGCTTGAATCTGCAGGTAATGTAATGGATAATGCTTCGGAATTGTTAATTGGAGAGTTGAGTTCCAATTCCAGTTGGATTTGTAAAATAATTCCTTAAGCGCAAATACCCTTTGGAAAGTTATGAATCCACCTCTTCCCTCCCACCAACTATGGGTTAATTAGTAAGACTTGCATCAATAAACCTTTAATATCCCCCCCACACCAAACAAAATTCTTATAATCTAAAAATATTTGCTGGCTTTAAATAATCTACTAAGAGTTGATAAGCCGTAGAAAATGAATTATTCAATAATTTGATTTGTGTGTGTTAACGGCATATCAACACCTTATGGGTCATTTAATGCTGAAATTTAATTTTATTAAAAGCTTGGAAGTAATAAAAATATGATATATGTTATTATGCTTTCACAATTGAATAGATGGTAGATGATACACAGCTTTTATACATCTACATGTTTCAGAGTCTGTCTATATTTCTGAGATGAAATTGAATGTACATTATTTACATTATTCGGACTATTGTTTCATATTTGTCGATATATTTATCACAACGTTTCGTTATTATACATTCATTCTTCAGGTGGTTGGAATGTCGAACTGAACCCTTTATTTCACTCACATAAATAAACACTGTTCTAGTTCCAAATATGCCATATTTGATGGATGTCAGTTATCAGTTATCTCCTGTTAATTTTCCCTCAAAATTCTCGACTGCTCCTAAACCGGGTATTGAACTCACACTCTTTGGATCCTGTCACTGGATCTAGCCAACACCTTTAGCCACTGTGCCATGTGTCCTTTATGGTGCCCCTTAAGATAGTGGAGAACAAAAAAGGGAAAATTAACAGGATAAAAATTTGATATTTGACATCCATTAAACATGGCATGGAACTAATTACAATAAAAGTGAGCGAAATCTCTTTGTCAGTCGACATTCCAACCACCTTTAAGGTATGGAGCGTACAACGGCCATTTTTATTTTAAATATTTAGACAAAGATGTAAAATAGTCCGAATAATAATATATGGAGATATGTTTGTGTAGAGATGATTATGATTGCTTTATGTCGTAGTTTTATTGAATTTACAATTTTTGAATACAGTTGGTAATTTTATTATAAATAGGTATTGTTGGTAATTTTTTTTAAATAAAATATATTGCTGTTATTTTTACTATAAAATAAATTTATATACTTTCAGTGTGTTTTGTTTTTGTTTTGGGGGGTTAACTATTTGCCCATTCCTGGGATCCTAACAGTTGCTACCACCGTGGGTCAAGATGGACGTGGGACCAACAGCAGTTAAGAGGTTGTTACACGATAACATCCACTCTCCCGATCAGAAGCCTTGCTGCCGAATGTAGTTTATCGTCATACCCAGGATGGAAATCAATCATATAAACGGTGTATCTCTGGTATTGTGCATTCTTCACGTATAATATCGTATTGTAAATATTTAAAGAGAAGAGAGGAGATACAAACGTTTTTGGTTATAATGCGGATTATTTAAATATATATTATACTTTATTTTCCATATTTTTGCTACACGTGTTTCAGATCTCGCGACTTTCATCAGGAAAAGAGTGGTTATTTCCACACATTATTAAAAGAAATTAATTTTCCTTATGTTTTCCGATGTTTAACCATTGTCTTTTGCGTGTAGTAGTCATCAAAATTTTTCTTAAACTTGTGGCGCAATAATTATACAATTAGGATTGGTCAGAGGAAGGGTGAAGGAAGGGTGGCTTTGTCTTATCTTTTTATGACACCTGTATCTCCTTAGAGCTATCTCCATTTTCGTATAATTTGTGGGTGTGTATGTTTTTGCTAGTATATGTGTACATATATTCCTTCTCCATATATATATATTTTTATTATAAGGAATTAGTATATATATATATATATATATATAATTATTTATTTTAAAAAATTTATAACATAAATATGTAATAAATTTTTTTAAATAAATATAATTATATTGAACTATTTGTATTGAGCACTCTTTTAAGAATAGTATTTGTTGGTTATTGGAATTCATTCCATATATACCAATCATATGGATATATATATATATATATATATATATATATATATATATATATATATATATATATATATACACTTCCTATGTTGTGTAGGGTTCATGTGTGTGCTTGTGGATAGTCTATTGTGTTTTGTTTTTTTTACCAGTATGTGTGTTTGGCGGAAATAAAAATGGAAGAACAAGTCAAAGACAGTCATAACTTTGGAATAGAAAAAGTTGAAAAATGGTAACAACTTGGTGTCAAGAAGCATGGAATGCTTCAAAGAGTATCTTAATGTTAAAAAAAAATATTGAATTTAGGAACCTACCATTTGTTTTATTCATCTTTTGTCTTCATTTTTAATATCTAAAAGAGTGGAATAGTTGCATATATCATGAAGCTAACTCTTTAACTCTATAAAAAATATATATTTCTCGATTTTCCTTCGTTTGGTCTGCACACTCGAGATGACTTTTTCCCGCCGTTTAATGGTTAAAATAAATCAATCATTTAAACGGTAAAAGTATTCGATTTATTTTCGCAAATTTTGCCATTGTCCATTTGCCGGTGGCTAATTTTCATTTTAGTTGCATATTTTGAAACATTTTTCCCTGTGTCGTGATGGACAGGCATTGTAACTAAATGATTTCGCTTTCGGGCAAAAGATAATAGACGTTCGATGCTGGAGGATATTTTTTAAAAGAGGGTTCATTTTCTATTTTTGAATGAAAATATCGTTGATAATTTAAACACGTTATGTCCTTTCATAGTAGGAATTAAAAGAAAAAAATATTTTTCTCCGACATATCAACAGGGTTCTGTGTTCAAGACATCCATGATTACAATACTTGCAGAATCTATGTCATCTCAAACTATAACCCTTATGAAGAACAGAAAAGCAGAAGAATCAATTCAGTTTCTGAAATTTGATGGGTACAAACATATGTAATGGTCATGTAGTGCTAAACAAGGATTTTTAAATAGATTTCCATAGGCTTTAATCATATCTCCAAGGTTCTGATTCCGAATATTGTTTTTTGACACATTGACTTCTCTATAATGATCATGTAATCTCTCGTCATTAATTGCAATTCCAAGTTTCTGATTTGCTTTTATGACACACAGACTCCTATATAATGGTCTTGTAATTTTATAGCAGATTCACATAGTTTTAATCACGTCTCCAAGGTTCTGATTTTTAAGGTGGTTTTATGGCACATTGAATACTATGTAAATGTCATGAATGCCAAACAAAGATTTTTAAGTAGATTCTTATATTCTTTAATCACCCCTTCTTGGTTCTGATTCTGAATATGGTTTTTAACTGTTAGGGTCCGAGCTATGAGTAAATAGTTAACCCCCAAACGGAGGTCAAAACACTATAAAAGTGTAAAAATAGATCTTAATACCAGAAATACTTTGTAAAAAAAAAGATATTACCAGCAATACATTTTTGAAAATAAATATTACCAGAAACAGATTCTTTTGAAGAAAAATATATTAGCAGAAATATATTTTTGAAAAAAAGAATTATCGACAATAAAAATCTTGTCGGCATTAAATAACCCATTGAGGTTGATTTTCCGTAAACAAGCCAATCTAAACCAAGCCAAACCAAATATTATCTCTCCCTCACAAATGACCCCTTCTTCCGTCTGGCAATCATTAGACATGTTTTCACAACTTTCACTATAGTAAACGGACATAAATCAGTTTCTCCATTTCTGCTTTCATTTCCCAAATTCTCAACTGACTTCGAATGCACTTTCACTATTCTTCCCCTCAGATTTGTCTTTTCTTCCTTCTTTCACTTTGTACCTTCCCAGTTCACATTCTAAATTAACATTTTCCTTTTACCAGTGTCACATAGTGTCACATCATGAGACCACTATTATTTTAACTACCTTCATTCTTAGATTAGGAATGTAATAAAACCTAAACATATGATGAAAGTGAATTTACACATTGTTTGTTCTTGCAAATTCACATGAAACACTATTTATTTATTAGACTAATTTTAGATTTACAACATTCTAAAAACTAATCCAATTAAAACTAATTCAATGCAATATTTATCATTTATCAATTTATAAAGAAATAAATATGAAAATATTTTATTTACAAATATGTAAACATTTACTAAATTATTAAAATGTGAATCAACTATGTGGAAATACTTATTAATTACCATTTTATAAAGTTTGAATCTATTTTCAAATCGCCGATGTTTTGCCAACTACTGCAATAAGCAATATAATAAATAAATATTATTTACTATTTTTGTTGTCAATTCTCAAGATCACAGACATTTATAACTTCACTTTCATATGTTTTGGTTTTATTTCAATTCTAATCATCGCTTTTTAAAGCAATGAACATTGCTGAAGAGTGAAGGTAGTTAAAATAATAGCGGTGTCATGGGAAAAACAGCCCTTTTGACTCTACGTTTTATTGCGGGCACGCATTTCTATGCTTGCATAATATTTAGGTCTTGATTCTGAATGTAATTTTTATGCTACATCAACTGCTGGTCATATAATGTCAAACAAGAAGTTTTAATGTACATTCTCATAGCTGTAATAAAATCTCCCAGGTTCGGATTCTGAATGTGGTTTTATGGTACATCGACTACTATATAACGGCCATAAAGGACCAAACAAGAAGTTTTAAGGAATATTCTTATAGTTTTAACCAAATCTCCAAGGTTCGGATTCTAAATGTAGTTTTATGGTACATCGAATGTTATATAATGGTCATCTATTGCCAAACAATAATTTTCAAGTAATTTCTCATAGTCTTTGGAAACATCTGACAACACGCAGACTTGTCAGTACCCTCTACAATTCGGATTTCGTTTCCTGTAACTCTTTTTCAAATCTAAAATTATGATTAAAAATCCATGGACTAATTTAAGAACAACGCCACTGTCTGACTATTCCCGATAGAGGACTTTGCAAACGTCTTTTTTTTTTTTACTTG